GTGTAATTCTTTTGTGGGTTAACTCCTGCCGAGATACCCCAGCTGGGAGCATACCTGCTCTGCAAGGGAAGAGGTGGCTAAGCTCAGCTTGGCTGCCTCATGGGGAGGAGAAAGGCAGGCTTCAAACCATGGTGCAGCACTGCTGTCTACATGATCATATTGCAGTCTTTTAATTACTTCAGAAAAATGATTTAATTAAGGCCTCTTCTGTACAGTTCTAGTTCAAAACCACAGACCGTCAGCTTTACTGGTCCTAAACCGAAAGAAGAATGGTCCCCGAGAGAGGATGCACTAAGGCTCCTTAGGCGATGCCTGTGTGGACTCAGAGCTGACCTCTGTCTAGCAGAGACGGCACAGGATCTCTGTGGTTTCAGACCACCAGCACCTGGGGAAAACACCCTTGCTTTGTGTGAAGGCTGAAATTTGCAATGAGTGGGACAAGCACTCAGCCATAAATAGCTTTGAAGGCTTAAAGAACTTTCCAAAGTACTAAGCGTGTGAATTATTCACGCACACTAGTGCTGGCTTGCAGGGACAGTGCTGCCTCACACCCATTTAACACACTCAATTTTAAAGCCAATTTACTTAACTAGATTTTAGTACAAAGACAGCTAGAAATGTATCTCACCCCCCTGGGTCAGATCATGGTGGCATCTTCTTAGGTCTCAAATACACATAAACATCAATACTGACAGCAAACAATTTACAGCCCAGCTGGCCTTTGCCTTTTGTTAAACACATTTCCCAATTTTAATAGGTTAAAACTTGAGGTCCCAGGAGGCATCTGGTTTCCAGCTCTGTTGTGCATTACAGCTCTACAGACCTGGGTATATACCCGGAGTCTCCACTTGCCCAGCTTTTTAAATCCATAGGACATCCTTGCAGCTATAGTGTGGGAAGAAGTCCACAATAAAACTCCCGTGATAGATAAGATCCCAGAGGGCCTGGAGACCAACCGCCACCTTCAGATATAGCCCCTGGACCCTGGAGAAGCCAAAAGCAAACGGCAGCAGCAGAATCACCTGCGCCTGAGCAGAGGCACTGAGGCCGTGTGACACCTTGCCACTCTCCCCTGCTCAGCCATCAGACCAAAGTCACCGTGCAAACTGCCTCCGAATTCCCTCTCTGGGGAGGCCGCCGGGAAGTCGGCGCGGCCAGGCTTCATGCAGGGCTGCCCGCTCAGGAGGGGTAAGCAGGAGGGTTGGGCAACCCAGATGCACAACGCGACACTGTTGCTGCTGAGGAGTCTTGTTCTGGCTGTGTGTCCCAGGGGTCAGTGGCTCTACACCAGGAGGCCTCAGCCCAGATCCCACATGCCATTACAGACACCACTTATTTTACCAAACTTGATAAACTGAGACGATTGAGGAGAGCAACATGAGTTACAAAACAAACACACCTGAACAACACATGAAGAAAGGCTGAAGGAAGGGGCTTAGCTTAGGGTAGAGGAAAAATTCAACGGGGTGATGAAGAAGCACTGCAGAGGGGGCTGTGACAATCATCAGGAGCTCCCTGCATCCTCTGCAAACAGGGCAAGAAACATGCAACTCCATTTCCAACAAAGATAGGGGAGGCTCTTAAGACAGACAACAGCAGGAACCCTGGGGATGCCTATGGAAATTGCAACCTAAGGAAGTTACAGAAACCCTTTCCTCGGAGGGCTGCAGGATGCGCGCGGCTCCCCCGGGGCTGCGTGAGCTAAAGTTGGGCAGGACCCCACCAGCCTCAGCATCACCCCCTGCGCAGCACTTCCATGCGGTGGCCTGGGACTGGGAGGCTGGGAGCCGGGAGGGAGCTTCAGCCCCCCTGTGCTGGCAGGGCTCAGCCCCGCTGGGCTATCGCCTGCCAGCCAGAGGAGGGAGAATCCCTTCAGGGGGGGAAGCTGCAGCTCCACGATTAGACTCTGGCCCTTGATAGCACCCAGGGATTCTCTGCAGAGCGCTGCTGAGCACGCAACCAGGGCAGGGGGGCAGCCCCAGGTGTGGCTGCACTGGGATAAGCATTAACGGTTCTGCAGGAACAAGTTTATCGTGGGTACTTGCACGGGAGTAGGAGAACATACAAGCAGTAGCTACGCAGGCACCCTAAGGCCCTGAGAGATGGGGGGGGCAGAAGAAAGGAGAAAAACAAACAAAAAAAAAGGCAAAGAGTCATAGGGTGCTCTGAGGGTTTGAGCTTGGCTCTAGGCAGGAGCAGCTGTAACTTGCACTCCAGTTTTCACATGAAAACTTCTGAAATTTCAGGCTGGGGATGGGGGCTCTACAGCCTCTCAGGACTATTTATTCCTTCCCCCCCCGCCTTGTTCTGCATTTCCTCCTATTATCATGATGCCTATCTTTCAGACATTTTTATGGGCAATAGGTTGCATTCAACAGCATTCCCTTTATTTTGTAGCTAAGGACACAATCTCATGTGGCATCTCCTGTAGATGACACCTCAGGAGAAGCGGGATAAATCTGGCTGCCCTAGCAGAAGGGAGCCTCCGCAGGGTGCTGGCAGCAGCCACAGCACCCAGGCCTTCTCCCAGCCCGGTTCTGCTGGGGCACCTCCAGCAACACCCTCTGGGGTAAGCTAGCCTGCCCCAGGCCAGCAATGCCGGCTCCAGAGATGTTGCAGGGTGGTGTTAGGGAAAAGGTCTTAAAATCCACTTTAAAAATCCACCTGAAGCAGCAAAACTACCCAGAACTGGTTAGCAGAACAGCAACGTGTTCGTGCATTTATTCCTAATGGTCTATGCAACCCAGTCCCAACTCAAGATTTTGTTGTTTATGGGCACAACATGCTCATTTTATGGGAACAGACCTGCTCTGTGCTGGAAGACTTCCTGCAAGCAACTGTGGTGTTAATTTAGACGATGGCATTCTTCCCAAACAGTCATTATTAAACCAATAACCCTACATTACCTCCAGCATCAAGGGGCAACATGCTGTTGGAGGCAAGACAGAACAAAGGTCCTAGCTGTAGTAATTGCAAAAGGGCTTAGGGGCTGTTCTCTTCAGGGAAGGGAGAGAAATGCAGCCTGGCCAAACTCCAGTTCCTGTGGTTTTAAAGATCCTCGCTTGAGTTGTATTGTTGTGTTGATGTGCAGCATTAAAGAGCTGCCACTTCTGCACCCATGCCTGGCTGAGTTACAGGAACTATTTTCAGCATCCCTCTGCCAGAAATGACATCTCTCATGACTTTTACCGTGGAATGGATGCATGTTTGTAATCAGCTTGGAAAATCTGTTTCTGTGCTTAATTCCAAAGCCTCATCTTTGCTACAGAAACAACTGTACTCAGTTACACAGCTTTCCCTCCCTTTAGCAGCATGGGGAATGATTTGCTGTCCTGGGAAATTGGTCACAGTATAAGCCCACGGGGTTTTGCATCATCAATGTTTGATGCCTTCGGTTTAAGTGCTGAACACACTGTACAGGCACAAGTGGACAGCCCGAATGGGAACTCTTCTGTAGTGCCATTTCAACCAGTGAAACCAATTGCAAATCATCTGGGAAACCCTGAAAGCTAATCAGTAGTTTGTGCAGCAAATTTTATCAGTTAGTAGTGGGAGGCAAGGGGTTAATGCCAAGGTAAAAAACACTATAGAATTTGTCTTATTTATTTCAATGCTGGTAATCTTAAGGATCGCCTTGCATGCTTCTACAGCAAACTTGCTTGAGAAACATTTTATTTAAATGCCTTCACAAAACGTCTTTCTGAACAGACCACCCAGGCTTTGCTCAGCTTTGCAAGAGCAAGGATATCAACCACCAGCTGAAGGTGAGGCAGGCCAGCCATAAATGCATTGCACCATGGCTGTGGATGGCCTTCCCACCACTGGAGAATGCAACTTTTTGCACTGTATCTGTAACCAAACTGATGTTAGCTGTCCCTTAGAGCTCCCAAATTTCAGTCTTCCCAAGCTGCTTGGGACACAACATGTCCACACAGAAATCTGTCTCGGTCTACTTCTGCAAGCAAATAGATTAATACATTTCTAATCAGCTGGTTTGGCCTAAACAGAGCACCAAGAGTTGCTGTCTGGCTAAGGTTCTAGCTGTGTTTCTTCAACAGGGAAGATGACTAAGGAAACAGCTTGCCTAGGGAGGCTGGAATCTCCATCACTGCCTAACCCATTCCTACATCTTGCCAAGCATCTGGCAGGAATGAGTTCTTTCTGCACCGAGGTAGGGTGGCAGGCTTAAAGACATCTTGAGATATCTTCTAGTCCCGCCTATGATAGTTTGCTGTCTAAATCAAATTGTTCTGGGATCACACATTAGAAACGCATTGATAGGGCTCTGCCATGCAGCTAATGACGAGATTGCCTGTGCCTCTTGAATCTTTCTACATGACCTCATTTCTACAGAATTTGTGTTTTCACAATCATTCATGCATTTTACCTCCATTAAGAATCCCCAGCTTAGAGAAATTTAAATCTTTATAATTTCCTTTTATCCAGGTGTGGAGAAGATTGTGTCAAAACCAAAAGTAGGTCTCAGGTCACAGGTTTAAGCCTCCGTCCTTTCTTTGGACTGAAGAGCAGTGCCATGCTCCATTTGATCTTCAAGGCCAGTTGTTGCACAGGCAATAATCCCATCAAACAGCGTGACAGCAGCCCAGACAAGCTACCCACAGCCCACTGCCACTGTGCGCTATGGCTCTGCCATCAACACTGGGATGCCTCAACAAATTTGAGGCTTAGCATCCTCACAGGTTCACATCCCACAGACCCAACAGAAGCCTCATTTTTCATGTTCATAAGGAGATGCAGAAGAGTTTAACTTAGGACTGTCAGGTCCCTGCACAGCTCCCTGTCTCGGGAACAGAGAACACTGATAGCCAAAATCTGCTCCTGAAATAAATCAGAATGACAGTCAACACCACAGCTGTAGAGGCACCTCATTTGTTTAACTTGACTTTAAATAAAGGAATCACAGTCTAGACCATTGCCTTCACATAATGGTACACCACTAATTTCCGTGCGCATCCATGGAAACACAATATACAGAACAGTTATTTCTGTAATATTTTTATTAAAAATACAGTCCACAAAGCAGATCCCCCATACCCAGACATGACTTACAGTTTCTGGGCTTCCCCCTTTGCTACCAGAGAGGGCAGCTCATGACTGCAAAGCCATTAATTTAGCAGCAGAGAGCCTTTCACAAGTGTCAGCATCCTCCCTTACACCAAAGAGGCATGATGCCTGCTCAGGACAGCCATAGCTCTGTTTGCATCACAGGAAGCATCATCCAAAAGGACAATTTATTGCAAAACTAAAGGATCTTCACAAAAATGCATTCACAGTGGCAGGAGCAAACAAAATGGGCAATTTCCCACTTCCTCTCATTTGAATGAATACAGTAATTTTTCTTCCAGGGCCATTTTGCATATTCTGCAAAGCTCCATTAGCCAAATAAAAACAGTGGGTTTTGATTATATATATGAAAAAAACAACCAACTAACCAAAACCCCTATCCTCAAGTACTGCATTCCAGTTAGAAGCCATACCTACGGGATTTACTAGAAGCAGCAACTCATATCGCTTCCTTCTTAGATTATAGGCATTGCAGAACAAGTTCAGCATAAGATACTTGAAATCACAGATCTTACTACACAATCACACTTTTCCCCCATTAAAAAAAAAAAAATTAGAGGAAGATATAAACATCTTATTTATTAAATCAAATAGAAATGCAAAATATATTTCACATGCCTTACATAGAAAAGAGATGAACTTTCAAGACTTTAAAGCAAGACTGTGTCAGTTGACACGCAGGAAATAAGAACATCATAAACAGTCACAAAGAGGAGGAAGGACTGGGGGGAGGTAACATGGGGATGGCAGGCAGTTCCTCCCCACTCTGAGAAAGCTCTCCTAAAAACAAGAATGGAGTTTATGCTGAGCAAGCATCACAAGCCTGAAATTAACTTTAACATATACTTATTTTGGAGGAACTTGTCTAAAGAAGTACAATTGGCTAACAACTAGTCAAAACAGTGATCTAAATTATGTATACCATACTCATATGAAATGGACACGGGTTTATTTTTTGAACACCGTTAGGGACAGTAGGAGAATCTGAAACACCAAAAGAAGCTTTTAAAAGCTGGATCAATCCTGGGCCGCATTCTGTGTGGCTCCACTATTAAAACAAAAATTAAAATAGAACTACTTTTCTAAATATTTTAATTACTTTGTCATCCTCCAACTCTTCCTCCCTCCTACACACAGTTTCTTGGAAGTTGAAATGACACTCAACAGCAAATACAAAGCATACACCAATATTATATTCCACAGTTTTTCTAAAGAGTCAATAGTCCAGCAATTTTAAAGTGATCTATGTGCAAAAAATAAACACATGAAAGAGTTTCTTAGGAAAAGAAAAAAAAATCCTCTGCAGCCTTAACTTCTACTTAAAAATTTTGAGGATTAGCACTAAATTTCCCAGTGGAGGACAGATCAGTAACTGCAAGTACTCTGCCAAACCTGTGACTTGGTGTTGCAGAAGTGTCAACATCTCAAGTTTACTACCTGCTGGCAAATGGAAAACAGACTGTATCCCCAAAAGAAGTGGGGAAGTCACTATTCAGAAACTGGTCTTCTGAAATACATAAACATACGGTGTAGCTATGTATTCAGAGACTGCTACCTACAGCTGAGAACAGTCCTTCCAGCATGACTAACAGTAAATGATTAACAAAATGTGCAAGATTTGTAAGAGCAGTATTTGAAATGTTCCTGACTGCTCAATGCCCCTAGGCCTAAACTATCCCCTCGCTAATAGTGGTATAAGTCAGGGCAGCTCTGGTGAAGTTACAGTAGAAATCGCTGTGCATGAGGATTTCTGTGTGAGAAGAACAGTCCCTTGAACTACAGACTAGTTCAGTCCTGACCACACTACAATAGGGAATTGTGTTTAAACCATGAGTAATCATGTAATCATCTCCCAGCATAGTACTTCTTTTCTGCACACATGGAATGTAAATGGCCAAGATTTACAACTGATGATTTTGCAGATTTAATGGATTATATTTCTTTAATGGTCCTGGCAATGCAAACTCCGTTAAAAAAACAGCACCAAAAATCCAACGAAAAAAAAAATCCCACGCTCACTGCTGTCTGCTTTTTTATTTGATGACTTATCTGGCACACAGTTAGGGTTTTTTAACAGTGCATAAGCGTTCAAAAAACATCAAATTACTTGGGCTGGGGTCGGGGAGAAGGGTGGTCCCCTATAGTTAAAGTCCAGGTGTGGAAGACACACCACAATAGGTGATAAAGCTAAATCACATTTGGGTAAATTGTAACTCTTATGCCTCTATCATTAGTCTAGTGAATGGAGCATACACCCCAGTTCCTAAGCAAGGGCTCTGAAACAAAACAATCACCAATTCATAACATGCCTTGAGTTTCCCAGATGAAAACTCGGAAAAGGAGCAAAACATGAGCAGTAAAGTCACTTGGTGTCTAATGGCTTTCAAAGTCATCTTGCAAAACAGTTCAAATATCAAAACTATCCCCAACCTGAAAGCCAAGTGGCAGTATTCTCCCTTTTACCACCCACTGCTGCGTGGGACAGAGGTGTGTTATGGAAGCTGAGAGGGAGACCAGCTGCGGGAACATGACCAGTCTTTGCTGGTGTGAAGGAATAGTACGCTGGACCACAGAAGAAATCTCACCCAACAACATGAAGCCTTGAGGATGAAGAATGAAGGCAAACACACTTGGCCTGATGCAAACCACATACCTTAATGCAGGAAAATGGTGGTTCTGGTGCAGTTCAAAGCACAGCCAAACTGGCTTCATTTGCTGAGGATGGCTAAACACTAACAACACACACCAACATGTGTTCCAAGTGCTGTTAGAACTATACCGTATACAACATTTATCCTGGGTTTTCCCCCCATAATGCACTAAAGTAAATCCAGACCTTAAGGAATAACTTGCATAGTAAGAAAAGGTCATCAATTTAATCATTTACTTTAAGCAGGCAAGCAAATTTGTAAACATTCAAAAGCGGTAGCATCCAAGTTACAAACAATTTAAGGAAAAAAGAATTGAGATTATTAAGGTTCTTCATCCTCTCAAAAATTTTTGAAATAATCTTTTAAAACACTGCAAACATTGAGCACTCTGTTACGCCTCTTCCCATCCTGCTAGTAGTCCTGCCTTCCAAGGAATTCTGTTTTCTAAAACGCACAGTCTCACAATTGCCATACTGTTTAGCATTTGCCATTTAGAAGTCAGCTACCGGCACATTTCACCTCAGCCTAAATCCCATTAGCAAAGGGAATGCTTGTGTCTTGATTCAACACCTCTTTAACCTCCGAGGGCAAAGCATCAAAGAGGTGATCTTCCACCACGAGCCCACTTTTCCTGAGAAGCTGACACTGCCCGAGCGTGGCTGGCAGACGGTCCAAGCAGTTTCCCTTCAGTTCCAGATGAGTCAGCTGCAACAGTTGACTAACTTTATCTGGGATTGAGGTAATACAGTTTTGTCCCAGACTCAAAGTCCTCAACTTAACACATTTAAACAACTGTTTTGGCAAAACGTCGACTTTGTTTCCTGTGATGTGAAAATGCTGCAAATTTTGAAGCAAACCTATTTCCACTGGAATCAACGCAATTGAATTGTAGCTTACATCCAAACACCTAAGTTTCTGTAAACTGAACACTGCAGCTGGTAAGGATTCAAGTTTGTTATTGGAGAGATAAAGAGACTCCAAATTCTTTATGTGGGTAATAGAGGAAGGAATGTTGACTATTTTATTGTGCCACAGCTTTAAACAAGTCAATCTTTTTAAGTGCTGGAAACTGATTATTTCTTCAATTGTGCGTATGCTATTTGACTTTAAATCCAGTTCCTGTAAATTAGAGAGGCTGAAGATGGCATGGGGAATTCTCTCCAGTTCACAGTTCTGCAGTTCCAACTCTGCAACATTTGTCATTTTCTTAAGGCTATTGAGTACCACAAGCTTAGTGCCGTCATTATGAATGACTAGTTTTGTCAGATGTGGTGCCACATCTGTGATATTGGGGGGAATTTTGGTCAAGTTGCTCTTCACATGGAGAATTTTAAGGTGTCTCAACTCTCTGAGAGACTCAAGCCCTATCATTTTATTGTTTTCAGAGTTCAAATTGCCTATCAAGTACAATTCACGGAGGTTTTTGAGCAAATACACCCACGCAGGAATTTCTGCAACATCTGTGAATTTCACATGAAGGCATCTCAAGTGGTCCCGGAGGAAGCTGAAGGCAGTCTGCTCAACCTTCGCAGGGCAGTGGCACAGATGAAGCTCCTGAAGATTTGTCATCTGGGAAATTTTCGCTGGGATTTTCGCTTCAGGAATCAGCTCCAGTTTCAACACATCCAGATCCGTCAGATCAAACACTGCATCAGGGACCCCCGACAGCATGAAGAGATGCAACTCTTGCTTGTCCTGGGCATTGCGGGAAACATGCTGCCGCAGCTTTTCAAAAGTCCATTCATGGTTTAAACTAATTTCCCGTAGTTTGTTCTCACTTACCTCCGACAAAAAGACACCAAATCGCTTAGAATACAGCTGGTCGTACTGATCTACCATATGCAAGAGAAATGCAAAATCATTTTTGACATCAGGGATATCACTGAAGCTACTCTCTTCTCTGACCTTTTCAAAGGAATATTCTTTTAAAGGTATTCGGAACAGCCAGAAAAGTGTGTAGAGGCAGATAAAACCATAGACACAAATGAGGGAAATATAGCTGATAAGCAGCTTCTTCAACATGTAAGCCATGTTGTGTGTACATTCAAACTGTGTGTAGCCAATCAGGTGTTCCACTTTTGGGTTGCAGATGTGTTCAAAACTAATGGTGTTGACAAAGTTTGCAGTATAGCAGAGAATAAATATGAACTTGACAGTCTTGATGACAGTCTGGCCAACATAGAGCTTGTAAATCAGGTCACTGTCCTCCACGTGAGCTCGGAACTTACGGACTTTCTCAAACAGTGCTTTGGCTTGTTCTCCATCTTTCTTATCCAAAATGGTGACACTGGGGACCTCAATCATCGGCTTGTCAGCTGAAAATTTGAAGCCAGACTTTGTTATCATGGGAGTGCTGGCGCTTGGGCTTCCTTCATCACTGCTAGTAGAAACATACTTGGGCAGGGACTGGGCACCAGTTAACCTCTGTTTGTTCTCCTCAGAATCCTCACATGCTGTTTCAGACAATGCTTTTGTAGTCCAAGGAGACTCAAAGCACTTCCCTAATATAGACACAAAATGCTCAATTTTTGAGCAAGTCTTGGGATACTTGAACCAAAAATTGCTACTGACTATTAAAATGATAGTATGGATGAGAACAAGATAGGGAAAATACTTTGAATACCAAGGAAGAGCCAAATGATAACACATCTGGTTAATAAATACGTATTGCTGAAAATCCAAATTTGTTTTACGGCCTGAAGAATCTTTCTGCTCCTTCTTCAGCTCCTGGCCTGATTCAGTAGGTTGATACTGAGAAGAGGTAGCTCTGCTCAGAGGTACATCAGGTGTTACTGTAGGAGCACTTCCAAAGGAAACCGTTCTCATTGATGCTTCTTCTCCTTGACCAGTGGTTGTTTCAACAGTGGTAAAGTCAGCCTTCCCTGACGTGCTGGGTTGTGCTTTTGAATTTACATTGGACTGCAAAACTGGCAAGCAGACCACCTGGTCTTTGGTCAGCTGCATGGTTCCAGCAAAAATGGCGACCATTAACATAACAACAGCTAGATAATCCATAAATACATCCCACCATGGTTTCAAGATACGGTAAGTTGGCTGGATGTCATTGAGCGATGCAACTTCTGCAAGGGTAAACATTCCTACAAAAGAACAAAGACAAAATCAGTACTGTTGACTGGTGAGCAGGTTATTTTACCATTTAATAACAATCACCACATGACACACAGATCCTCAGAAGGTTCCAGGTTTCATTATGCTTTGTTGCCTGTCACACATTGTCCATCATTCCACTCAACACTTTTCTCAAAGGATATGTACTGAAATGATACTTTAGCAACAAAACAGAATTTTTCACGCCTCAAGACAGATTACGTTTATGTGTCTTTGCCACTTTACAGTACAAGCAGCAAGGCCTGCTCTGTGCAACTGAAACATCTGAAAGGTAAAGTGCTGCAGTTGATATGTAATAGTAACATGAACAGCAACAATTGCTTACACTACACAAAACCTGATTCTGTGAAAATTACTGCTTGAGCCTGAACATGTGACATCCAGCACTAACATTATTTTGTAGTACCTTGCAGCATTTAAACAAAATAGCATTTGTTAAATGCTTTGCACCTGCTCAAGACCTGCACACCACACTTGAGGTCTCATTACATTATGAGCAAGGTGTCTCATCTCTTTTCATCTAACACAGTAACAGTCAGTGTCTCCCACTCAGTGCTATTGAGCATCTACATTGTTTACCAGATTGATTGGCTCCTCTTCCTTAAGTACCACTGCACAAGTGAAAGTCTTGCAGTTACTACGTGAATATTTGGCACAATTTTTTAAATGTGTTTGGATGTTTTACAGTGAGAAACAGTTATACCCTGTTCATTGGACCAAATGATACTGTATATTTTTTTTTTCTCCAATTAATGAAGAAATAGTCCTTCCTCAGAAAAATCCAACCCAGCTAACCAAGAAAAAAAACCACACAACTTTAACATAATGGAGAAATTTTTTTTTTTTTTTTTCAGATTATCATCACAGCCTGGTGATTATAGGAAGCTGGTTAGGCCACGTATCATAGGAGCATGCTGCAAGGCTTTCACTTTAAACATATGCACTGTGAGACAGTGGCAAACCGATTGTGTGAGAATCCAAACCTCTTTGCAGCTTTAAATAGCTTGCTTTGCTTTTGTTTTGACAAAATCTAGAAGACTCAATTTATCATTTTTTTAAAAAATAAGCTTCCTGTGTAAGCAGGATGTGGTAAAATCATCATTTTAACTGCTGAACTTGTAACCCAAATTTGCCATTTCTAAAGTAAAATATGCAGCTTGTGTGCACACATGGAGTGGGGAAGGAGACAGGATGTACATTACCACACAGAGTCTGGCTCCCTTTGGTTGGGAGAACGGCTTAGCAGAGCACCAGGAGATCAAAGCAGGCAGTATAAAGATGCACCAGTTTTATTATTTTTAACTTGTAGCATACCAATTCGTACAGACCTGCACCTTACAAACCCTAAAGGACAGTGTCCCAGGCAATGAATATACAACACGGTCATTTGATTACTTCTAGCCTACATTTCTCTGAAGATAACAACAGACATTTCTATACACAGAACTCAAATACCACCTACTGCCTATATGGCCTAAGGCATGCATTAGCCCCTCTTCTTCCTTAAACCAAGGCAAGCAGCTCCCGTGATCTCGGTCTGCAGGAAAGGCCAGGGATCTCCGTTATGGAGCCTAGCATGGAGCTCACAATGAAAGCATCTCCACCACAGCAAGGGATCCAGCTCCTGGTCTCCCACACTTACCTCCCAGAAGCTTTTACCAGTTTTGCATACCTAGTCTGGGATTTGGTGAAGGCAGCCGGAGAGGACAAGGTTTTCTCTCACTGCCACACTCATTTTGCTCCTCTTGGCACAGTTGCCAAAATGTAAAAGTTAAGGCTCAGATCCTCAGGGAACGGGCAGAAGGAATTTCCACCTCTGTTTTCCAGCGGGCAAATGAAAGTCTAATACTACTCTCCCATCAGCAACACAAGTTATCAGAGTCTCAGAGCTCTCCCAGCTCCACAAGAGCCTCCTCCCGGCAGCACGGTCCCTGAGTCGTTCCCCAAGCATCTCTGCAGGCTGTAGTTGCTATAGAAGTGCTGAAGGACACAGACCAGTAACACACCCCACAGCTATGAAAGCCTCACAGTGCTTTACTTGAAGTTAGCTACAAACTGCTATTTTCTTGAATGTCTCCCAGTGCTTACCTAGACTGATTCATAGCACAAGGGCTTGACCTAGAATTGCTACCTTTAACATTTAAATAACAACCATGCGCAAAAGATTGGCATTAGTCATTTGTACTAATATAAATATAAATGGACCCTCCTTACTCCTAAAAACAATTGCCACCTACCCAGGACACTACCACAAAACAGCAGCAGAGGGTTGTGGGTTTTTTCCCCCCTGCATGGTTGTTTTTGTTGTGTTGTTTATTTTTTCATGTCTTGGAAGCTGGTTGGAAGGGATGCTCTCATGGATCTCCAAGCTAGTTTCACTGAGGTCTCACCCACCTTGGCACTCATAAGAACTTCTCATCCATTAGGTTACTAGTGCAGTAGTTCAACGGGAGAGCACAGAGCCAAACGCTTAGCAAGGACAAGTCGTGCATGCTTTCCACAGTTGTGCCGCCGCACACAGAGCTATGCAATGTGCAGGGAGAAGGAGGAGGAATGACATGACTGCTGTAACAAACATGGGTAGCTGCTACTGCTTGTTCCTCTGGGGCTAGCCTTTCCCTCAACTTTGCACTAGCTAATTACGTGGGAAGTTACTTCATTGCGGTTTGGGGCACAACCTGCAGAATTCCTTTCAGAGAATGAAGGTGGTTTTTTTTGCTTTTGTCATGAGAACACATGGATAATGCACTGAAACCTAAGCGCTGCAGACGTGGCTGCTCTAAGCAACTGAAATAATGGAAAATAAACGAGAGAGTACAAAGTGGTTCCAGCTAGAGACTTAGAAAGAACAATAAAAAAAGCTAGAGCTAAAAATCAGTTCTACCAGACCTCTGTCTTGCACACACACAAAAAGATTTCACAAAAGGTTAGGAGACACAACAGAGCCTGTGTAATCCTCTTTGTGAGGGTGTAGGCAGCGTGGTGTAACAGGAGCTTTACACCGAGAAGTACCACATTCAGTGCTCTGAACATGTCTTTTCTTTCACGTTACTGATACTCACAGAAGAGCTGCTATTTTGGCAGAGATTAGCAGTTATAAAATACAAAAAACCCTTCTGTGGCATTACTGTCTAACACTGTGCCTCGTAAGAGAGGCAGACCTTTTTCTAGCTAGCAAAAATAAATTCCAGGAGCTGAAAACAGGTCTCTGTCCTCATACGTCTAAAATATTTAAATGCTCTGAGTCTTAAAAAACAGAATGAAAAACTATAAACCTACACACTGTATAAGACACATTCTGACTGACAGGCTGCAAATAAATTTGGTATTTTCTCTCTTAAATTCATCATTACACATACTGGTGTTTGATTTTACAAAATTAATAACCACAGAAGTTAACTTTTACTTCACTTTTGCAGATGCTTAGAAATCAAACTGTTAAGAGATACTCAGAACAACAGGTCTCTACAGTATTGTAATGTTTTGGAGTTTTCTTTATTCCACAGTTAAATTTAAACTATTTAAAGCTTTTAAAACCCGCTTTTAAAGTCTACTGTCCAGAATATTTCTTGGAACAGGTAGACAGTATTTTCATTGCTTATTTTCACTTCCTTTTAAGGGTACCAAATTGAGGTTGGAGTTTCATGATAAATTGCAGTGATGACACAGTAGTAAGGAAAAGGGAAAAACAAACAAACAACAACAAAAAAAAACCAACCAACCAAAAAAAAAAAAAAACAAGCCAAAAAAACCAAACAAATGCGAGTCTGTGTCTGTCAGGTAGAGCCTGCAAGTCCCTGCCACAGGTGGTCTCCCCTCAAGACCAGTGCGTGCTCTATCCACAACCCCAATGCAAAAGAAGGTCTGTAAGCAGGTAGCTCAAACTGAAGAACAAAGTACTATGCAGCTGAAAAGCCAGAATGTCTGATTTTTCATGGTGAAAACATGCCTTTCAGCCCTTTTCAGGGCTCATAAGGAACTGAATGGACCTTGAGGCTCAGTAGAACATGGGGTTTTGACACAAGATTTAGACCCAAACTAGAAAACTGTGGCTTTTGAAGAGAAATAATTTTTAATTCCCAATATATAATTTCAGGACACAGTCTCCCTTTTAAAATAGCATATTTTATTTCAGTTTTAATAAGCATGGGTTTTAATTCAAGCCTATTGCAGTATAACCCTTAGGGCAGCACAGCTACACAAAATAAGGAATACCTTTAATTGTAGCCAATAATCCTTTTTCCTCCCAAACCCTTTGTCTCCAGTTCTGTAACTTGGATGATGTTCTAGGACAACATTAACCTCTCCCAACTCCATCTATTACCTCCAGCTGTTTACTGGATGCAGTCTCTCTCCCAGGAAAAAAAACAAACAAAACAAAACAAACTTTTTTTTTAACCGAAACAAATGCAACTGTTCCACGCACAACTGTTTCTTGCTACTTTCTAACTTCAGGTGGAAAAAACTTACAGTTCTAAAGCAGTGTAGTACTAGCTCCCTTTTCATTGCTAATGTGATATGAAGTTCTAGAACTAAACCCGCTTTATTTTGCAGTTATATAAGTTACAGTGTAAATGGAATTTAAAAAAAAATAGAGAGACAATGACAATACAATTGTTCTAGGTTACAGGTCCATGTTAAATCAGCAAGGGGAACAGCTACTTTCATAAACCGTACTTCTTACCCAATTATAATCCTTTATTCACCCTTAAAGAAAAGCTATAATAGGAAGCTCAGAATGTGATTAACCTGGTGAATTTTTCTGACATAAGTCGGACTATAAATGCTGAAACACAAAGTAGACATATTGGGTTCTTTTCCTAAGAAACTGTTCTAGCTTAAATACAGAAGTTAGAGGAAAAGGAAACAGCAGATTGGTATGTCACTGATGTTTATTTACATCCTACTTCTTCCTGTACTTACTGACAAAAACTTCATCTGTCTGCCCCTGCAATTCACTGGCTCTCCT